TGAGTTTTACTGTACTTCTGGTATCAAACACTGAGGAGTGAGCCTCTGAAGAGCCGTTTGTGTGAAGTGGCATGAGCCAGATGGGAAGATTGTAGCCTGGCTGATAAAAAAAGTGATGGTACAGCACGAGAAAGGCCATTTATTTTCACACTTTTGCTCTTTTCATTAAGGTTGGCCTATAAATCATGTTGATATAACCACAACTGTGGGTTAAAGCCTTGGTTGTATCATGTTCTGTCAGTATTGTTAGTGGTTTTAGTAGCATTTCTTAATCTTGTGTTTTCTTTTTGCTACACATTTCCTTGCTATTATACAGCTTGTTGTATGTAGTGATTCCTGTCACTGAAGTTTTCTTTTTTTCCGAGTCTTCACAGTACCTCCTGTTTCCACTTTAGTAGTTTCCAGTCCTGTCATCTCCAGCTGTTCATCCCTTCTGTCGTCTGACTTTAACATCACTTCTGTCATTTGCATTTGCTCCTGTCCAACATGAACAGACAGCAGTGAGTGGAGACATCAGTTAGATAGATACAAAAGCAAGTTACTTTGTAAAGTATACATATGCCATTTATATTTATTAACAACTGGTGGCAACTGTGAACAAGACAATATGCGCAACAGCAATAACATGTGTGCAACACAGATGGACAGTAATATATAAACAAGACATTTTGGCAAATCCTGGGAGCAGTTTTGTGAATTTGTTTCTAGTTGGATGGAGCCTGTGCCAACTTGTAAACTGTAGTTATCAGAAGAAGTTAGACAGTTGTGAATATCTTGAATCAATTATTTTAGCTTTAAGAGCCCATTATCATGACGTTAAAAGGAACTCCTTACTAAAAAAAACAAGTGATCATCAACTTGGCAGGACATTATGCCCTGCGCCAGCCTTTTAAAGAGTTTCCTTTTAACAACATTGCATGAGGCAGTGGATTAAGCATTTCTGACATCTAACATCTTGCTACGAGGAGCGGATGCCAACACATTGAATCAGCAAAGCTCTCTAACTGTGTTTGTGTGCTTTTACTGTTGAATCTCCCCCTGTTGGCTCACAAATCAATATTTCTCATGTCGAGGCGGGCATAATGGTGGAACATATTACTTCGGACAGGAGGTTTGCATTTACTGATGTTGTTGTCATGCCTTATGCAAGTCGGCTGCTTATATGTAGTGTCTATATGATCTAAATTCAGGTGATTAACTGTTAACAGACTGTGTTGACTTGAGGTCAATGTATGCACTTTTTAGATCTTCAAACAGTTCTTTAATGTCCGTCTTCTTCCTACAGTATGGTATGTGTCGGGGGCAGATAACCAGCTTCATTGATTTATTAGACCTCTCCTAATCTCCACACCAACACTTGAGGTTTCTCTTTGAAGCAGCATTTAGGTTAGATGAAGTGAACCTAATTATGAGTAAAGTCTTTAATTAGGAACTTTTTTTCATTCTCAATGCCTTTCCAAAGACATCTAAAGCATAAAACCACAGAACGGTGCTCTAATCTTTAATGATCATATATGCAGTACATTTTAAGTCTTAATAAAGCTATAATCCAGCAGGGACGATTCCTTTGAGTTTAATGAATATTCAAATGATCTATTGAGTGCTTCACGCTGTCCTTATTCCTGTGTATAGTACAATGAAAACTGTAGTTTCTGACTCCTGCAGATTTTCAGGCTTCGGATAAGTCAAGTTATTTTAAATATGAGCACACTGCTAATAGCATGTAAGCACGTCTGTTTCCAGTACAGCCCTCACTGTCAAAAGGACATATAACTCAAGGTACTAAAAGCAACCATTTGCTGAGGGTTGCAAATACTGACTAAGTATAGCTTATTACAATGTAGTTTATCAGATCTGGTCAGCCATCCTAAAACATAACTGTGGCTGGCTTGATAATTACAGGATATCCTAACTGGAATCCAGATGCAATAGGAAAGATAAGGAGGATTTAACATTGTTTGATGACATGTCTTAATATAGAATAGGGGTTTTCTTGCCAGTCAGCGGCAACCCAAAGTAAAACCAAGAACATTTGTGATCTTGGGATGTAGGAAAATCCAAAAATAAATCAAAGGGAATAATTAATGATCCATTACACATAGGCCTTTCACACGAGCAATACCGCAGCTTTGATGTGGCGTCGCTCAGATGAAATGTTGTTGCTCGAGGTCAGTAATTGACATTTACCCTGTGGAACAATAAACCATCTCGAGTTCATCGTGTCAGAATTGTTTTCTCTGGAGCATTGGAAAGATTACCGGATAAACAAATGATTTAAACATACAAGATTTAATGTCATCAGCGGTTTGTTTCCCTAACCGACAACTTTCAAAGATTAAAAGGTTTTCATGCAATTACTCTCAGTTTGTACTGCCCGTCTGACGGCTTTTCAACCTCACAGGGATCATAACATCTAATAGAAATACCTGTATTTATGTTAAGCACTATGCTGACTTTGAAAAACACACAGCAGCGCTATTCATTTGAATTTTAATCCTAGATGAAAAAGTGATGTTAGTTTGTCATTTGTGAAAATAATGCCCTGTAGCTTGCAAGATATCATCTTTAAACTATAACCCTTAAACTAGAAATGTAATTAAAAAAAATGCAATGTTTGTATTTTGTTATTAATTGTTATTGAGTTTTAGAAGCCTTTGAGAATATGCTGATCCAACCTAATCAAATTACTTAGTTGAAGAAAATGCCTTACCCAAAGCTTTAATAAAGGGTGTTTCGCATACATTTGTATACTACAAACCACAACTACAACTTGTATTAATATCCAAAATAATTCAATGGTAAATAGAATTAATTTAGCACTTTTTCATTCTTAACACTAAAAAGCCAGCTTTCATCTGACACTACCATAGGTGCAGGCTCCTTATCAGTAGCGATAAACATTAACACCCACACACAAACACACACCGTTGTGCCCCCCCCAGGAGCAATTTGGGGTTCAGTATCTTGCCCAAGGACCTCTAACATCTAGACTACTGGGGCCAGGGATTGAACCAGTTGCCAATTTAACACGTAAAAATAAAAATATCTATAATTCAAATATGTGAAAATGTAAGTAAGAGTATATTTTCTACATATACAAAACAAGAATGTACAAAGCATGCTGTTCTCTCATTGCATTAATGTCTCCCTCCGGTCTCGGCTGTTGATATCGCAGCAGCATGACTCACACACTGTGACCATGACATTGACACACAGCTCAGGCTCCACTCTGAATCTGAGCACATGAAGAGAAATGTCTCTAAGGGATGATGAGAGGTGAATTCTACTCACAAAAGGGAGAACATATATATTTTCCCCTACCACCCTGCTAATAATACCATTAGGTAATACCGCAGCCTTGTGATAATCACACTTTAATATTGTGTTAAAGAGACTGAATAGGAAACCGTGGTTCTCAAAAGGATAACATTTCAAATGGTAATGCTGCAGTTCATGCATGCATTTGTGTGAATCCCTTGTGGATGTGGAAGCATTCTGAATCCAAAGTAGCTTAGTAATATTGTTAACTTGTGTTATCCTCATGTTTATATGACATTTCACATGTGTCTTTTCAGTAAAGGGTTTTTTACACTCATGTTTTTGCACTCAAATTGTCGTTGGTATAGACTTTAACACAGTTCTTTGGGGTGTTGGGGTCGTTGCATATCCCAGCAGTGTAAGTCATTCCCTGCTGGTAATTAGTCTTGTGTGAGCTGTGGTCATGTCTCCCATTGAAAGTCTCTGCCCTTGGTCCTCTGTAGGCAGCAGGGGGAGTCAGACATTAAGCCCTAATTGATAGCAAAGGGAGAGTGGGGCTTAGCCCTTTTTCTGCTGACGGGAGCAGCCAATACATATCAAGTCAATGGGGAGACAAAGGACCTCACCCTTATCAGTTTATTAGACAATGAAATGTCTAATGAAATCACTGGGATTTGTAGTCCCTAAACAAAACTGATCCAAAGCTTGGTTATTTATCAGTGCACCCTTTACAGCAAGAGGACAGACAGGATAGCTTTGTAATTGCTGATCAAACTGAGTACAGGGACATGTCTGATAAAACCACCTGATTCTTTACAGGAAACTACTGTAATTAAACAAAGAGTTGTGTTAACTCTCATGAGGATATAACAGTCTGTACACGGTGTGCTGGCCTGTCACTCTGGCTGATGTTGGTCCTCAGATTGAATGCCTTTCCATGTGGCACTGACGAATCAACAGATGCTGCAGCAGTCGTTTTTCTATTTACGAATTTGTTCCTGGAAGCTTTTTAGAAAAATGTGTTCTTTGGGGTGTTAAAATGATATTTATTTGTATGTGAAAAAGCTGAACAATGAGTAATCCTTTTAAGCAACAAGGTTGTGAGAACATATAATCCCTCAAGAAATCAATGAGGGCATTGTTGGGGATTGCTGTGCTTCAGTACAAAATAAAGCCTGACCTCTGCTTGCTCTGACTTCAATAGGAGACTTCAGCAGCATTTTTACAGTGTTGTCTTTGACTAAACACATCAAAAGACCTATGCATGTATCAGGTTTCATTAGTTGGATCTGTATTTCCATAGCTTCCCATAGCCTTCATGTTCATTTGTTATGTGAAATAAGTGAACTGTTTTTAATTGATATGCTTTCTTTCACACCTGCTTTGTGATCTCTTTCTGGCTGTCTATGAGGCTGTAACGCAGCAGCAGCAGCAGGATGGGACGCTGTTTGTTATTTTAAACAGGACCTCAATCTCTTCCCCAGTTATAACTTTCATTATTTTAGGCAGTATTTTTTGAGTTTCTGGGGCTAAAGATCTACTACAATAATAAAAAGACTAGCTGATTTCAATGTTTAAAAATAAAGATATGGGATTTATCATGTTTTCAATGGTATATATTTTATGAAGTGACATCTTTTGTTAGTGCCGCTGGGCTGCATATCAGAATAAATGATGTATTATTCAAAGTTTATATTAAAGTTTTGAATGATTGTCTTACAACTCTTTTTTTCTTTTTACAGAAAGAGCTGAGTCTTCCACGAAGAGGCAGTTTGTGAGTACCAAGTTATGTTGTTTATACACATCTTGCTTAAAAGTCAGTGGGTTAACTTGTATACATCAAATAGGCTAATGAACATAAACCTCCACTTGTCACAATAACCAGTACATTGGTAGGGCAGATAATGAGCTCAAATTGTAATGAAGGTTTATGTGTTAAATATAACGTTTTTAAACATTTCATCTTAGATGTACGCTGCCAATAATGTAAATACACATTCATAATTTTATTGAGCAGTAGGGCTGCATCATATATTTGAAATGAATATGATCATGTTCATATTTATCTGATCACTTAGAATAGAAAAGATTTACATAAAATAATCAAACTGATGTTCATACTGTAGTTGTTTCTCTTCAAACACTACCCATACAAAGAACGGTTTAATTTGAGATGAGAATTTAGATTCATAAACCAAGACTCTGTACTCATGTTCATGCATGAGTTGGCTCTTCAGTTTAAAGGCGTCAATGAATCACATTTAACTACCTAAATGGTCTTGTCCGCCTATCAGGTGTGATGACTTTGTGATGACATATAAACTATTAGTTTCATACTTAGTCTAACCTGCATCATAAACACATCACAGTCCTTCTCTGAAATAGCCACGTAACTAACATGGACGTGACTCTGAAAAGGTTTCTGTTGTTATCATGCGCTTCACATAATCTGCAGTTTGATGGATGTACCTCTGCGTTCAGTCAGTGGGAGAAAACGAAAAAGTGATGTAAATTAGCTTATGAATAAGCTAAATGCAATTTAGTTAGACTTAGTATTCATTTTTAAATTAGCTAAACACTTATGCAAACTACAATTTTTGTTAAATTTTTGGGAAATGGATGTTATAATACTAAATTTGCTTATGGAGATTGATAATTATGTAGGGATAAGTGAACAAGAACTGAATGTTTGTCCAGCCTTCACCTGTTGGCCTGGGCTTTATTTAGATACAATGTCACAGAAATCTATTAGCTGTTTTCTGCTGAAATGCATTTGTGAGCTTCTAAGATGTATGTATTTTCATCTACATCTTTTACGAGTCATGTTAAGATGTTCGCTTACACAATGGTTCAGTGTAGGATCGCAGAATAATTTCCATCTTTCAAATATTGCTGGATGAATATGATCTACTTTACATTTTAATTAGTTGCTCCGAGTGGATAGATTTGCTTTTTATTCCAGCATAATCTTTGGGAAGCAGAGTTCATATTTTAGGGTGAAATACATCATTCATATGATAGTCTATTTTGTTATGAGAAAAATGCTGTTGATTCTCCAGATGAAACAGCTTTTAAGCCAGGTGAGGGCATAACAGACTTCCTGGGTATTGATTTTTGGTTTAGTTTGCTATATTTTATGGTGGAAGAGAAAGATTTACCTATGACACCTTGTTGCTCTCGCTCGCACCTCAGCAGAGGGGGCACCTACTGTAATAGAGGTGAGCCATTACCAACTCGATTTATATTTATAGCGCTGCGCTGCAGCCTCTGGTGACCTTGGTAACCATAGTAATGGTGTTTGAATATCACAAAGTTGGTATAATGCTTAAAGTGAATCATAGTTACATTTAGTTAAAAAAGCCTATGAGGTTTGGACTAATTTGTCGCATTTGAAATGAAACCATATTTTGTAAGATGGGTATATTTGCGTTTCTTGATTGGTATTACTGCTTGAGTGTTATCATTTGCCTGATTTAAATGTGTTAGACAGGGTGTGTGACAGATGGTGGAGCAGGGTAGGGAATAAGGTAAAGTTGGTTTAGCCTATCTTTATTTATATTCTAATCACGAAAAGAAATACACGAAAAAGCGGTGTCGGAAGAGGTACTTGGATCCTTTACTTAAATAAAAGTACAAGTAAAGTTCCTGATTTCAAATTTGTACTTAAGTTGACGTACAAAAGAAAAAAGTATGATATTTGCCTCTGAAATGTAGTGGAGTAAAAGTATAAAGTAGCATTAATTGGAAGTCAAAATATGTCAAAATATAGTACTTGAGTACAATACTTGAGTAAATGTACTTAGTTACTTTCCACCACTGTGAAAAAATAAAGTATGTCTGACCATTGTTTTTTTCTGTTACTTAAGTCTAAGAGTGGTTTTGCTGTGACAGATAGCCAGCTACTAAACATTTAAAGATATTAAAATAGCAGTTCATTACCAGTTATCCTTTTCCACAAACTCTTTACATCTTTGTGGTGGGCATTTATTATGGTCATTTATTTTTCACAGTCACAACAGTGACGGGTGTATCTTTTAGATTATTTTAATATGTGGTGTTGCTTTCAACATGAGTCATTCTAGTGGTGTGATGACTGGAAAGTATTTGTAGGCTGATCTTAATATTAGAACTCTTTTGCTGGGTCCAATTTAATAACTTGAAATCAATCATTTGCACGCAACTCAAGCCACACTCATTTGTTTTCTTGATCAATTTTGGTTAGATTGTTATTTCTCAACTTCAAGCAAAACATCACAGCCTGCTGCAGTTTCAAAAAAGCTGTTGTGCTGCCCAATTATATTAGCTGCTTTGCCATGCAATAGGATATCTATATATAAAGAGGAATTGTTTACTGTAGATTCTGTTACTTGGTCTTTTTAGGGTGAGAGTAAATTCAACAGATGCTGTCAGCCACACTACATGAACTTGATCTCTGCACATAAAGTTGTTGTTGGAGGATAGCCATTTACTGAGATTTATGAGTGGAAGTTTTACAGTTGCAGTCCTCCTGAAGCTGGAGATATGAACAGCGTTTTCTTATATAAAATATATATTGAGTCTGGGAATTTTTGGCAGCATATGTTGTTGCAGAATTGATTAGCGATCAACATAAACTCCTGTGTTGTGCCTCTGTGGTGATTCCCTCTTTGCGTTCAATAGTTGGTCCTAGTCCAAGCTCTTCTGAGAGGAGGTTGCCTGCTCACCTCACACGCCCTCTCTATCCTTCTCATTCAATGATCATTTGTCAAGGTAACACAGAATACACATTTTTTAAAAAGCGCATTTTTTGATTTTGAGATTAGTAACAGCCTCACAAGATAAATATCTCCCTTAAAATCTGGTGCACATCAGTTTTATTCATTGAAATCGAGCATAGGCTCAGTTTTCACATGTTGCAAAGGTTTGCCTTGCTGTGTAATCTTACGTTTTTACAAACACACACAAACGAACGTTTCAAATTTAAGGCTGCATCAATATATAGTTTTATATTATTATTTAATATTGGCTATCAATTAATTTATGGAGTAAATGAAAACATTTAAAAAGTGCTGCTTTTTTAAGATAATTATTTCTCAACTGTATTTCCACTCGGCTCCACCGTCTTTTTACTTAATGTTTTGTTTTTTCACCTGCACTTTAATGTTTTGGTTTTGTGAGCGTTGAAACACTCAAACTGGACTTGAAACTAGTGGTAATGCTAGTCTGTATATGCTGGATAAATTAATAGGCAACTGTTTGCTTGAAATTTTCCCGTGTCCACTTTTTAACTTGAAAATAAGTAATTGTTGTGTTTAACCTGTTAAGCCCGGGAGCCCCGGAAACAGCGTTTGAGGGCTTCTTAACATTTAACAACCTATTAATGATGCATACCCACTTAACGGGAAGAAACTCAGCTAACAGACAATATGAACAATTTTTACCGAAACGAAACACAACTCTAACGCCAAGCGTCTGAATCAGCACTAAGCGAAAGAGTGCTAACGCACTTTGCACATGACTCACGGTAGAAATATGTTCTACTTCATCGGATCTGCACAAACAAGATATCAAGAGATTCCACAGATTCCAATGGTATAAGTATCATCACTGTGCGACCAAAACTCAGGGCAGCGAACAACACACAACTTCACTTTACGTGGCCAAAACGGCAAATACGTCTTACCTTTGCTGTTTTCTGATAAAAAGTTTTGTTCAATGACATTAAAACGCATATAAACGCTGCTGAAGGTTAATCCAATGTCTCTGTGTCCCTTAGAAATGATTACTGATAAGCCATCGTCATATTTATGTCAAAAAGCCTAGTTTTCAGTTTTCAGAGCGTAACATAGCTTTCGGTTTGGGCAAACTGCGTGTGCATCACTCTCATTCCTCAATGGTAACGTGTAGGTGGATTTAGGAACTCCCTCTCGATTCTATTGGCTCTAACGGTTCAAAAGAGGTGTCAATCACCAAAATCGACCAATAGGTTCCAGATATATCGTTGATCTCAATGGGATTTTTAACCTGGATAAATAAAGGCTACAAAACAAAACAATATATGGCAAATCCACCCAAATGACTGCAGAGGTGTTTGTTTTTTTCTAAACCTCTAAGAAGGTCAAATGTCACTTGTTTTGCATCAGTCTTGATACAGGGTACTTATTATATGTTATAGTTTGGATTCCTAAAGCTTCTACTATCCCATCATTCAAGGGTGGTTTTCACTATAAGTAATAGGAATGTCATTTTCGAGCCTGAGACCTGAAAAACAGGCTCAGGGCTTAACAGGTTAAAGCATTTTGCACTGCCCCCAAGTGGCCAAAAATGACTTTATAGAATGGAATGAATGGACTTCTTTGGCACTTTCTGTGTAACTAAAAACAGTCTGCATGCAGTTTCTGAGAGAAGGATGTGGGCCTACTTCACCTGCATAAAAGTAGACCTGATTTCAGAGAAATAGAAGCTGAACACTAGAAACAGCTCTGCAGTGTGCGTTCTTCACACCACAGTAACAGTCATACATTATTATTAAAACCTTGGTGATTCACCTGCCTTCACCCAAAGCTACAAATTACCAGCACAAAAAGAAATCAAACAAATTAGCTACATATCTTTATTTGACTTTATTTTTTAAATATTGCAATGACATATGAAATGAATGTCTATCTGTTCTTTTTGTAAATACCAACCTCGTTGTGATTCATTAACACATCTCTGTGTTGGCAGGAAATCTTATACCTTCACATTTAGAATCTGCACTGCACACTCTTATATATCCTGTGTGCTGGTTTTAGT